ATAAGAAAAAAAAAAAAAAAAAAAACAATCATCAGCAAACAACAAAATAAAAAAAAATAAAAATAAAAACAGGGGAATATACATTAGCAGTTTTGGGGAGATTTTGCAAGAATGCTTGCCCTCCAATCGATATTCGTGCATAACCCAATTGGTTTTTTCCACTCTCTCGCAACCACCGACCATCAACCCCACCCCGGCAAATCATCATTTCCACCTCTAAACTATTTCCAACCCGCCGCCGCCATTACTTGCCCCATTTCCTCCTTCGTTTGCCGACCAATTTTTCTTTTTAAGAAATCACCATCTCCGCCGCTGCTCCTCCGACGTCAAAGATCCTAACCCCATCCCCATCTTCTATGGATCTATGAGCAAAATAGGATTTGAAGACATTTTATTTAACTGAATCTTGGCCGCCGAGGAGATGTAGTGCACCAATTATCGGAGATCGATGGTGCTGTTATTTTTTCGCCGGAGAATGTTACCTGGCTCGCGGACGAAGCTATATCCTTGGAAGGAGGAGGAGTGGTGGTCGTCGAAAAATTTTGGAATTTTTTTAAATTATTGTTTGAGATTTTTTTGGTGCAGACATGGATTGGGTTTTGGGAAGAAAGGTGGGTGATGGTCTCGTGGGTTTTGGGGAAGAAAGGTAGGTTATGTGGTCTGTTGGATGACAGCTTTTTTTCCTTTATTTCCTCTTTTTCTTTTATCTGTTTTTTTTTTGTCTTTTTTTTCTTTTTTTTTAATATGTATTTGTAATTAATATTAAAGATGCAAGTGAATGGGCGAATTTACCCCTCAAAATCTCACGTGCAAAGCACATGTTTTAACATTCCGGTCAAAATTGCCTGAAAATTGAGTTCAGGGGGCACCATGCAACGAATTAACGAGTTTAGGTAAAAACGTGCAAATTTTTTTTGTTTGGGGGGTAAAGTGCAAATCGGCCCTAACTTTAGGGGGCAAACTGCTTTTTACTCTATATATAAAGTATAGTGGACTTACATGAATACATATATTTATTACATGTATGTTTCAAAGATTTATAGAATATTTGTTGTCGATGAATAAAAACCTCACGTACTAAATGGCATAGTATATATTTGGCCCACCATTACATTGTACTACCCAAATTAAAAAGGTCGGTCATATGTATATATATATATATATATATCGCCACCAGCACGCAAAGTTGACTGTTTCTATTTGAAATATTAATATTAAATGATATATTTTACTAAAACTTTAAATTTTTGGCTGAGATAGTCATTCGACAATTCCACAGTCACCCATTTAAAATATTTTAAGTGCAAGACTTCTCCGCTTAGGGGTCATATTGACAATTAAGGGTGGTTTGTGCGATTTTCAGGATATTTGTGGTGATTTGTGCAATTTTTAGCATATTTTAAGCAAAAAAAAAGTTTCATATAAATTTTATTGTTTTTCTAATTAAAACCAACATTTTTTTCCAACACGCATAAATCAAAATCAATTTATATGATTAGCAAAGATAATAGGGGTAATATGCCTCACACCCCTCAAACCAAACCTAATTAGATATGAGTGACAATCTCAAATAAAACATTTTAACTACACCCTTATTTTAAAATAAAAATTGAGACACATCCTTTATTTTTTATTTAATCCAAAAATACCCTTACAATACCTAATAAAAATCATTCTTTCTCTCTCTTCCCCTCCCCTCTATCTCACGCCGCTCAACAACCCTCACCTATTCTGATTTTCTCGTTTCTCCCCCACCTCTCTCTCTCTCTCTCTCTCTCTCTCTCTCTCTCTCTCTCTCTCTCTCTCTCTCTCTCTCTCTCTCTCTCTCCATGAAGGCAGCCGGTCTCTCTCTCTCTCTCCATGAAGGCCGCAGGTCTCTCTCTCTCTCCATGAAGGTCGGCGGCGACGGCTGCTGTGTTTACGACTAGGGTTGACGAGATTGGGTGTTGTTGGGTGCTAGGGTTTGACAGTACACCGTAGTAGACTATAGTACATTGTAGTATACCATAGTCTATATGGTATACTACAATATTGACAACAAATAAATTTAAAAAAAAAAATTAAAATATATGTAGCTTGAATTAACAAAAACGAAAAATATTTTTTTTCGTAATTTTCAATATCATGTAGGATTTGTTTTTTAATAATAGTGTAAAAATTATAGTACACCATAGTATATCATAGTGCACCATAGTATTTTTTAAAATTTGCTGAATTATTTTAACAATTTTGTTTCCCGTAGTTTCCAATAAAATATAAAAAATAAGGGAAAAAAACGGTTTATAATAATGTAGAAAATGTTAGAGTGAAAATTGAAAAAATAAAGATGAGTGAAAGGGCATTTTCGGAATAAATTTTATAAAGGATATGAAGCAAATGTTTAGTTGAGCTTGTCATTTAGTTCTAATTAGTTTTATCACTAGGGACCTATATCTTAAGACCCCAAAGTAATAAAACCGACACTAGCATTTCTAAGAACTACGACTTTTGTCCTAGTTAATAATTTAATATTGAAACTTCAATTTAGATTTATTTTAAATGAATGGTTTCACATTAAAAAAATTAATTTTTACATGTTTATTGTATTATTGTTATATGATATATATTTTGTACTATTTTTAATAGTTAATCAAATATCTTACTATATGATCCGATCTGTGGAGGAAAACGATACACGATGTTTTCCGATATGATAACCGTGGTTAGAAATATGCCCTAGTTATTATAGGGCCAGCAAAAGTTGAGCAACAAATATCTAATTTAATTTGAAGGGTCAAATAATTAAGGTTATCAATTGTAATGAAATCCATGGTCCATGCATATATATAAATGATGTATATATCATAAGTTATGTATGTTCCAACATAATGTACGTATAATTAATGAGACGTCAAGTTGAATAATTTCATATGGTCTACATAAGAAGTTGCATTTTATAGGGAACTTTCTTCACCACCAAAACATTTAGATCTAACGTACGTGGTGGTTGTAGAAGTAATTACGGTGGCATGGCGGTGGCGGTGGCGGTGGCGGTGCTTAGACGGATTTTATTTTACCAATTAAGTATATGAGTTTTGTAAAATTTATTCCAAAACTGTCATTTTCACACAAAATTCGAATATATATTCCCCTAGTAACTTCTCACATGATTTTTGCATTTTGCTCATGTTTTTATCATTTTGGATGAATTATTATTTTATACTTTTTTTCTTTTATTATAATGAAAAATATGTTTTCGTTTTCATTGTAGACTTTTTTGTACTATTACAAAAACCTTTACATAATATTGAAAATTACATAGAAAAAATAGCATTTAAAAAAAATTAATTTACATAATTTTGATTTTTGTATTTGATTTTTTGTCGATAAATGCAGAATATAAAGTCGACTGTAATCACTCATAGTGACCCAATAGTCATTTGTAGTCATCTAAATTTTAAATCCAACTTCACAACACACTCTGCACATATTCACTTGTAGTCATCCCCGTAGTCACTTGTAGTCATTGGTAGACAAGTATAGTCATTCTGAAATTCTAGATCCGCCCTTTTGAACCCTAGCGAGCCGACCTCTTGATTCACAACACCGTCGAACACCTTTTGAACCCTAGCGAGCCAACCTCTTGAGCCGACAATTATAATCATTCCAAAAACCTAGTTTCCCCTACCAAACTCTAGCCGCAGACCAAACCCTAGCGGCATTAAAGAGCTCTAGGTTGATCCAGCCAACTCCCACCCCAATTTGAATTCACACCCCTGCCTCCAACGCCAAATCCAATCACAACAACACCACCGTCCTCCGTTCGCCCAACAGTACCCCTTAATCACCAAACGTTAGAAAATCCAAACTCCACAATTAGAAATAGTAAAAAAAGGAGTACGATGAGATGAATCTAACAATGGTAGAACCTATAGAAAGAATAGAATATGAGAAAGAGAGAAATAATAATACGTAATATAATAGAAACCCCTATTGTGTTATGGGTTGATTTACATTGAATATATAGAGAAATAATTAATATAGTTTGACTAGGTAACTAAATTTTAACTAATATATATAGGTAATCGAATCATAATAGAATCCTAATATTACAAGAGTTATTATAATATAATATACTCTAATAGAACCATCAGATTCCGATCACCGATGAGGGAGAAACGGCGCTTAGAAGCACCCATATGCGCGCACGAAAAAAATCATAACTCCACAACCACATGGCCTGAAAATGTAAATAGACAGTTAAAAAAAAGATCACGATGAGAAAAATCCAACCACTAGTAGAAAAATGGATTTTTATTACGACCATTAATCGTACAAAGAAGGTACCGAATTCGTAGTAAAAATACTTTTTGCTACGAATTTGCCATGTAGCATATACATTGCGTGAAAAAAACTTTGCTACGGTAAATCGCCGTAGCAAATAATTTGTTTGCTACAGTAAATCCTAGCATTCACTACGACTCCAAAATTGTCTCGTATTAAAATGTACCTTTTGTTACACCGTTTTACCACAACAAAAAAAAATCGTGCTAAAAAACCATTTTTCTTTCTACTAGTGAACAGTCGTTCAACCATCAAATTCCGATCAACGGTTACGAAACATTTGTTAATTTTCAGATCAAATAGTGCCATAATCCTGCCAATAACACTATTGTTGGTGTAATGAGAAATTAATCTTTTTTATATGTTGGCATGAGCTACGTACTGAACTCAACTACTTTATGCATATTTTATAACACTTGCAAATTAGTATATGATCACTTTTCTCATCCAAAATAAAAATAAAAATAGTATATGATCACATGCCTAATATTCTCCTTTCAATTCCTTCATTTTTTTAATTATTATTGATTCAATTATTTAGAAAGTAGGGCCTTCAACTATTATAAAATTATTAGTTTGTTGAGTGTGTGTGAACATGCACTAAATGAAAATATAGAAACAAACAAGGGCCCACCAGATATTTTATTTTATTTGTGTTTCGTATATATATCTTTGCTCATTTGGATTAAATTCACTCCCCATTTAATTAATTTGTTCTATCTTTTTTCATCCATGGAGTCTGCATCTTCTTGGCTTCAGTCTTTAATTCTCTTATTATTTTCTTTAATTATAATTATAATTATTATTATATTGCTAATTATCCGGTTGAGAAAATATTGGTGCTGCTGCAACTGTGGAATCTGCAAAGCATACATTGAATCTAGTTGGCGCGTCCGATTCCCGAACCTCTGCGATTGGTACACGCACCTCCTCAGAAACTCCCCCACGCGCACCATCCACATCCACGCTCTCAACAACACGATCACCGCCAATCCGGAAAACGTGGAGCACATGCTCAAAACCCGGTTCCACAATTACCCTAAAGGGAAACCCTTCTCCGCAATCCTCGGCGATTTCTTGGGCCGGGGAATCTTCAACTCCGACGGCGATTCCTGGAGGTTTCAGAGAAGAATTGCCAGTCTTGAACTGGGTCGGGTCTCTATCCGGGCCTACTCGTCTGACGTGGCGAATCAAGAAATCCGCCGCTACTTGCTGCCGGTTATGGAATCCGCCGCCGCCGCCGGCCGAGGCGGAAATGGAGCGCTGGATTTGCAGGATGTTTTTCGGAGGTTCTCGTTTTTCAGTATCTGCAGATTCTCGTTCGGGTTGGACCCGGATATCTTCGACGACCACCTGTCGCTGCCGTTATCGCAATTCGCCGCCGCCTTCGATTCGGCGTCGGAGCTTTCGGCGGAGAGGGCCATGTCCGCCTCCCCGATCATCTGGAAGGTCAAACGTCTGCTCAACGTCGGCAGCGAGAGGAAACTCCGGCGGGCGATCGGGACCGTCCACGTGTTGGCCGGAGAGTTCATCTCACAGCGGCGGCGATCGGCGGATTTCAAATCCTCCTCCGATCAGAAAAAAGATCTCATGTCGAGATTCATGGCCAGCGTCGCCGACGAAACTTATCTCCGTGACATAATCGTCAGCTTCCTTTTAGCCGGCCGTGACACGGTGGCCTCCGCCCTGACGAGTTTCTTCATGCTGGTGGCGCGCCACCCAAGAGTGGAGGCGACGATTCTTCTCGAGGCGGAGAAAGTAATCGGGCCCCACAACGAAAACCGGCCCGCAAGCTACGAACAACTAAGGGAGCTCCACTACCTGCATGCAGCGGTGCACGAGAGCATGAGGCTATACCCACCGATCCAGTTCAACTCCAAGTTCTGCTCGAACGATGACGTTTTGCCAGACGGCACTTTCGTGAAGAAGGGAACTAGGGTTACTTACCACCCCTACGCAATGGGCAGAATGGAGGAGATTTGGGGGCCCGATTGCTTGGATTTCAAGCCCGAAAGATGGCTTAATAAAGATGGAGTTTTCTTTCATGATCAAAACCCTTTTAAATACCCGGTTTTTCAAGCCGGGATTAGGGTCTGTTTGGGGAGAGAAGTCGCGCTTGTCGAAATCAAAACCGTCGCGATTTCACTTCTGCGAAGTTTCCATCTCGAATTGGTCGACGAGAATATTCCAAGATTCTCGCCGGGGCTAACCGCCACTTTTCGCCACGGCCTGCAGGTTTTTGTTCGAGCTCGGATCCAACCGTAAATAATTTATATATTAAAGAAGCTCAAAATAATTCAACAAGAACTAATAATTATATATACTGTGAATTCGATCTGATCCTCCTCAAGTAAATTAATTAATGGGGTCATTTACCACTAGTTGATTTTGAATTTTACATGTATTATTATGTAAATATATGCATGTATGTACATGATTATCTGGTCTGTATTCATATATATGGAAGTAAGATGTTACATCTGATTATTTATACTTGGTGAATTTAAACTGTAAAATTAATGAAATAACTATATACTAAGCACACATACTCACATGGAAATGTGTGTGAAATAGTTAGCAATTGTCTAGAAATAGATTTGCTTAGATTTGTTCGTACATGCATGTGATTGATCTCTTTCAAAGATTAATATTTTTGTACCTTTTGGTCTGTTTGATTAATATTCCTATGTTCATGATATTATTACATACACGTGGGCGAAGAATTGTTGTTTTTTTCTTTTCTCTTTTACACATGCTAAAACTTTTTAGAAAGCATACATATATCACGAGCGACGGAGCGAGGTCTCTCGTGATTTCTTGAAGGAGGAAGAGGTCATTTCCATTGAAATTAACTATATTTTTAGAGAATATACGTGAATCGCGTTCAATCGCGGTTTGTTGCATACGTTCGTAATGGAGGGGCGTCAATGGGTGATATCATATTTAGAAATTCTAATAATCTTGAATAGTTGTTCGAGTCATCACACATACTGATCGCCTCCCGATAAGCTAGAATTGGTTGTAGTCCAATGTATGCATGCGTCGCTGTAATCGTTGGAATGCGCAAGCACTAACCTCAAACTCGACTATGCTATTGGAAGCCCGACATACTAGCATTCCTCGTAGTTGTGTTCACTATTCGTTAGAAATAGGCATGTGCTTTGCACGTGTTTAATTATTTTTCTTTGAAGTGAGTTGAGTAATTAATAAAATGATAGTTATAGTGAATTATTATTAAATAAATTTCTGAACAAATATTAGGCTAAGTCACTTTGGATACGAACACATATACTATCCATTGTCTAAATTTCAAAAAATGATACTTCTCACTCAAATTATAAATGGGCACGTGTTTAATTAGTTAATTTTCATTTGAAGTTAATTGTGTAATTGCAAATGATATTTAAAGCTTGCACACAAGGTGTTTGGTGAATTGCCGGAACAAATTTCCAGAGATCATTTTGCTTCTATTCTTACCATACTCATCTACCAATCACTCCATCACTATGACATGCAAGAAGCAACAAGTTGACTCGTCCAGCGACTTCGGAGCGTCGACTTCGGAGCGTCGGCTCCCCAGGAAACGATCTTCTACGTTAAACGGTATATGCAGAGAGAGACAAGTAAATTTGTTAGTATTTTTGTTTTTTTAACTGTCCTCGTATTAGTGAAAACTGTAATGTAGAATTTAGAGATGAATCATGATTCATGAAGAAGCTTTTGGCTAATTTCTGATTTAATTTTTTTTTTTTTTTTTTTTGCATGAATTATATATGTGATTTTATTAATTAACTATGATTTTAGTAGTTGATACAATAACCAAAATGATTTTAATAGTCGATTACATCAATTAGTTATGATCTTATAAGTTAATTTCATTAATCAACTTTAATTTTAATTGATTATTTTAATAGTTGATTAATATATCTTATCTTATATATAAAAGAAAGAAACGCTAGGGCAACCCTAAGAAACCCTAATGTCATATTTGTAATTTTTTTTCAATTTTTATCAAATTTTTATCTCCTTAATATTATTTTCGAATTTTATCATATTTGTATCCCCTAAATATTATTTTTTTATTTTTATCAGATTTTTGTCTCCTAAATATTATTTTTTATTTTTATCAAATTTTTATCTCCTAAATATTATTATAAATAATATTTTTTTAATTTTATCAATTTTATATCTCCTAACTATAATTTTAAATATAATTTTCAACTTTTAGCAGATTTTTATCTCCTAAATATTATTTTCGAATTTTATCAAAGTTATATCTCCTAAATAATATTTTAAATATTTTTTTCGAGTTTTATCATGTTTTTATTAGTTTTTTTATCTCCTAAATATTAATTTTGTTTTTTTATCCTAAATTTTATTTTAAATAATAATTTTGATTTTAATCATATTTTATCTCCTAAATATTATTCTAATTATTATTTTCGTATTTTATCAACTTTTATCTCATTAACATTATTTGAAATATTATTTTCGATTTTTATCAAATTTTTATCTTCTAACTATTATTTTAAATTTTATTTTCGATTTTTATCAGATTTTTATCTTTTAAATATTATTTTTTGATTTTTTATCAAATTTTTATCTCCTAAATATTATTTTAAATATTATTATCGATTTTCATCAAATTCTCCTAGATATTATTTATAATAATCTGATTTTCGATTTTTACAGAAAAGGGTAAATAAATCTGATTTTCATCCCTAGCGAATTTTGTGACATCGTTTTACATAATGTCTGCAACATTTGAATTTTATTTCTTCCCTACCTAAGGCTTCTTCTTTTGGTAACCCGACTTTAGATTTTGTTTTTTATCTTCTTCATCCTATTGACTGTGTGGCAATTAGTTTACATCTTTTTCCATCATTGCTTATCGGTGATTTCATTTTGTTAAATTATGTGTTTCATTAATTTATACCAAAGTTTTCAAAATTTATGTATAACAATTATTTCCTTTTATATGTTATTGGACATGTTATTGAAATGGATGATTTGAGAGAATTAACCAAAAATGGGCGGAGCCACAAGCTATTGGAAGTCGACATTCAAGACTTATTGTTTGTATGCGATATTTAATTTATTGTTTATATTTATTTTTGTTTCTTAATTTTCCAATTGTTAATTCCAGTGGCAAAACAGCCTGAAAATGAGGCAGTGGAGAAGGGCTTAGTTCCGATGCAAGATGTATAGATGGCCTTTTATGTTGTCGATAGTTTAATTTTGATTATGTTAACTAAGTTATTAAATCTAATTACTTTTAAGCTCAACATGAAAGACATAGTTGATGATTTTTTTCCTGGTTCAAATTTTCAATCTACTGGTATTAGCTGATTCAATTCATTTGGAAAATTATTCAATAGTAAAGTTATTTCCTTTTTTTTTGTGTGTAGTATACTTAATGATGTTCCAGTATAATAGAATTTTGATCATACGATACATCAAACGTTTGTTTATATTCTTACAACATCAAAACAATGCAATTTGTTGTCCCGTGCATCGCACGGGTACAATTACTAGTATATAAAAGAAATAAACGCTGGACTAAAAAACCCTAATGGTATTTCGGTAATTATTTATTTTTAATATTTTTTTTCTACTAATTTCTAACTATAACTTTTAACAATTATTATCAAAATTAAAACTAATCCGTGAAGAATCCTACCTTATTGCTACTTATATAATTATTTATTTTTAATATTTTTTTCTCTACTAATTTCTAACTATAAAACTAGAAATTCAATACGAATAATACCACATTATTAAATAATTTTCTTATTATATATGAAGGCCTCGTTTGCTTGTAAAGATTGGATTAACCTAGATTGGATTAAATTATTCCAATCTCTATTAACTAACTAATTATTTAGTTAGTAAGATGTTTGGTTTATAATATTAAAAATTCAGAGTAAATTTGTTCAAAATTTGATTTATCAACAATACCCCTGAGTTAGCACTAACTCAGTCTCGTGCTTGATCTAATGAATAGACAAAAAATATTAAAAAAATATTGTTTCTTCTTATTTCTGTAAAATAATTTTCTTTTTCTTTTTTCTTCTTTCTATAAAATAATTCGTTCCAGATATTTAAAAAAAAAAACAGAAAAGAAAACCTTATAAAATTGGTTCAGTTTCGTGCACAGAGCACAAGCACAAGCACATCCACAAAATAATTTCAATTGATTTTATATTTTTGTATCTAAATCCAATTTATCTTTTAACTGTCTTTGAATCGAAAAAGACAAAACCCATAAAAAATTTCATTCAAGTTAAAAAGATAGTTCGCAAGAAAAAATACCACAAATATTCAGCAACAATTATTGCGAAGGTTTTTCAAATTAATGTTCATAAAAAGATTTTGGGGTTTCTCTATTTTAATCGAGAGGAGATATGTAGTTTAGATAATAATTTTTTTGAGGGTGATATTGTCTTTTTCCTTCCCAGTCATCATCTACTAAATTAATCATAGGGGTGGAGGTACGATTAATTTTTGGAGATAGTAGGATCTAGTAGCGGGCTTTCGTTTTAATAGCGGGCTACAAGAAATTTGAATCTTCCCAACCAAACGCCCTATTAACCGCTATTATTTAGTCAATCTAACTTAATAGTAGAAAGCAAACGAGGCCGAAATTGATTAAATTTTGTCACTATTTAAATAATATCCCGTGCGATACGATACGTGGGGAAAATGCTAGTAGATTAATTAAAGAAAAAAAAACCCTAACTTAAAAACGATTTGTCTCTCAAAACAATCACAACGATTGTCGTATTCCGGGAAAGACGAGAGTACCAGAATCCCCCGCCATTACCGGCGGCGCGACGACCAGCCACCACCACGTGCGCCACAACGATCAATTTCTGTTTATTTGGTGACTCTTAATCTCGTTTTCTCTCCCATTCTGTTTCAATTTTTGTCTGTTAATTGGTAATTGCCGATTAGGAACTACTTCCTGTGAATTTTTTTTCCCAATCAAGAGTGATTTTCTGATGAAATCAAATCCTAGATATTATAAAGTTGATTAGTGTTAATATAACTTTCTTACATTGGTGGTTGATTGAATTAAAATGGTAGTTGATAGGCAGTTGGAGTTGAATTCATACGAAGGGAATGTGGTGCGATTATCTATTAGTTTAAATGTTAATACATTTTTTCAATTAAGTTTTTGTATTCTAGTCTTCAATTAACTCATTGTCTATTTGTTTGTTTCTTTTAGGTTTCCTTCAGCGTTATTCTTGATTAAGTTGAACCCCCTCCCATGGAAGAAGAGGACGAAGGAGATGTGGAGTTCAACACCGATGCTCCCATTTCCCAATCATTTAATCGAAAGAGAAAAACAATCAACGAGAACCCTGCCCAATTGCCGCCCGCCGATGGTCCACCGGAAATCGCAGTTTCTGAATTCGAATACTCTGTCGAGAATCACTTCAAATACGTTGACAAAGTAGCCAAACTCTGTTCACACCCCGAAACACTCGACCCTCCCGACCAAGCCGACATTAAACGGATCTCCAATTCTATAACTTTCTTGAGGTAGCCGAGTAATTCTAATTTATTTTTATTTTTTGTTGAATTAATTTTATGTGTGGAATGATGGTTGCAGGGAGTGGAGGGATTTTAATTATGGCCCGCGAATTGTGAGGTTTGCTTGCCAATATAGTTCCAAGGAGAAAGATGTAATTGGTGGGGCTACCTTGCACCAATTTTCATCTGCATCTGTTCCAAAGGTATTTTTGCTGTTCAATTTTTTTTTTTTTTTCCTTTTTAGGTAAAATGTATCATTGTTTCGAAAACTTTTCGAGTGAATTACTTGATTTAATTTACCGGTTTGGGTACTGCAGAAGGAGACACGAAATGGCGACGAATCTGGTACTGAATTCAGGTAGGTTCAATCTTGAGATGGGCATATGAGATATGTTACGATATGTTTTTCCGTGTAAATTTAATATATTCGGTTACTTATAATTGAAATTTTATTGTTTCAGCAAAGACTTTGTAATGCATGTCGGCGGTGCAGTCTGGGCGTTAGACTGGTGTCCTACAGTTGATTGCAATACGGAGAATCATATCAAGTCCGAGGTAATTGTCACTTGGTTCTCTCGTGTTTGCTATCCCATCTTTTGAGCGTGGCCTCGTCGAAATTGCTTATTGGGGTGACTAATATTGATTATTAAACTGCATTCTACTTTTCTTGAAATTGACTCTGCAGTTTGTCGCTGTGGCTGCTCATCCGCCCGAATCTTCACATCACAAGATCGGTGCCCCTTTAACTGGCAGAGGTGCAATCCAGATATGGTGTTTGTTAACTCTATACGTAAAAGAAGATGCGGCTTCGAAAGGGACAAAAAAGCCAAAACCGATTTCCCAAGAACTGGCAACAGTCAACGATCCGAATAAAGTACTAAAGCCAAGAGGGAGACCAAGAAAGAAACCCATTACCGATACTGTCGAGAAGATTGATAGGCCAAGAGGGCGACCAAGAAAAAATCCGATTAACGATACTGTAAAGAAGATGGATACTGATCCTCAATTTGCAGAGTCTCTCGCCATTGAATACCCTACGGAGTCGCCTAATGATTGTAGCCAAAAAACGGAACATGCAAATGCATTGTTGTTGGCTGGTCCTAAAGGCGGAGGAAATAAATCAAAGTCGCAAAAAGGAGCCCAGGTCCACAGTAATGGTTCGTCTATTCCCAGACAATGTGAACAGAGAGAATCTGCCCTTGTGAATCCACTAGTATCTGCAACGAGCTTCGGTTTAGATTCCATGAGCCCTCCTAAGAACGTTGGATCTTGTGATGCTAATACTTTTAAGCATTCGATTCCCGTGGATGTTGAGTTGCCTAGAATGATGCTATGTTTAGCTCACAATGGAAAGGTTGCATGGGATTTAAAGTGGCGGCCGGTCGATGTTCATGGCCCTGCTTCGAGGAATATAATGGGTTATCTTGCTGTCTTGCTTGGGAATGGTGCACTAGAAGTGTAAGATATCCTCACTTGCAGTTATATATTTTTATTTTATTTTTCTTCACGGTACCGTAGAGAATCACCAATTATGAAACTTCAGTTTATAATTTACCTAGTTATGTATCTGAACTAATTACGGCAGCATGTCAACGAAGATGTCTCAAAACTCAATGTAGAACAATGTAGAACATTCGTACATTATGTCAGAAATTCGTCTATCATATATGCCTACTTTCTAAGCAACAAATATTATATACCTAGTCCTAGTAAATTTAAAACAAACAAGATATTTTAACATATTTATCTGGGTTGTTTGCACGATCTTGTTCTTCCGCCTTTATGTATATATACGGCCATCTCGCAAGAAAATCGAGGAATTTTTATGTAGGTTGTAGAACTAACATAAATAACCTTCTTTATGCAGGCCTATGACTGGCCATGCTAAAAGAAGGGAATACAGCCAGACTAGGGTACCAGCTCTCGTCATAGCACAAATTTATAAGTCTCTTTTGTCTGCACCATTCCCAATATTTAAGTGAAAATATCGATTGATGTATTTCTTATAAATTTATCATGGCTAAATTGTAAATATGATGTGCAGGTGGGAGGTCCCTCTTCCCCATGCGGTGAAACTCGTGTATCCTGCTTCTCAGGAGCGAATTGATCCTCGCTTCATCAAATTGAAACCGGTATTCAGATGTTCGAAGCTGAAGTGTGGTGATAGGCAAAGGTAGTTTTGCACTAAGTACATTTCTAAGTTCGTTTGTTGAGTGCTTCAAACTCTTATCGTAATTTTTCGTTCGCATGGAAGAGTTGTTTTTCGTAAAGGATGTTATTTTTTTGTTCATATTGTACTATCAAGGCAGTGAATATATATTGCCGATGACATGATGAAGCCTCGGCGTTGCAGTATGCTGCATTTTAATTTGACTCTGTTTTTTTTATATGGCGATGATAAATGTACGTACTATACGAGTATACTACTTCAGTATGTACTTGCTTTTTATGCCTGACTCGTCTCTTGTCACTCTTTTAATCGCAGTATTCCTCTAACATTGGAGTGGTCTGTGTCGGCTCCCTATGATACGATTGTAGCTGGATGTCATGATGGAGTGGTAATGTTCAGTTTTATATATTTTTCTTTTTATGTATAAACATATGCATTTAAATTTATAAAGATGAGAACTTTCTAAATACTTTTTGTTAAAATCAATTCTCTTTGAGATTCTCCGTTGGCTTGTAACCCGTTTCTTACTTCTGTAAATACAGGTGGCTTTATGGAAGTTTTCGGCTACCGATTCATTAACAGGTAGCGCGGAATAAGAAAAGAATCATTTCACCTTGATACGTATTTTCATCCATTTTGCATACGGAAGAAAGACAGTGATTCTGTACAAAATTTGTTTCCCAAAGCAGTTTCCTTATGTTTATTTTTCTTCAGAAACGAGACCTTTGCTTTCCTTCAGTGCAGACACCGGTCCTATTAGAACACTGGCATGGGCACCTAATCAAACGTCAGTAAGACTACATGGATTAGTTTTCCGCATCTAACCCGTTTCTTCATTTATAGTTTATACATGTTCTATTAGTTTTTCGGATAATTTATAATTTATCTTTGCTTAATATTTGCAGCGATCTCGAGAGTGCAAATGTAATTGTCACTGCGGGTCATAAAGGCTTCAAATTTTGGGACATACGGTATGCATATTATATACTTACATGAACACCCCTGCAGATAAGGACACTTGTCAGGAGTTCTATTTTATGATTCTAGACAATATTAATTTTTCTTAAATTTTCTTTTTTAAATCCCAGTGATCCGTTCCGTCCATTGTGGGACCATGCTATGCAGGGGGTCACTTACGGTTTGTCTTGGCTGCGTGATCCAAGGTATAGGTTTAATCATTCACGAGACGAATTCCATCTCCATTTGAGCACACTCAAATTTGTCATTAAATTGTACCTGCAGATGTGTCTTTGGTTCCGTCGATGACGGAACACTGTGGTTTCACCGTCTAGAGAACACAGCCTCTGATATTCCAATTACTGGCAAATGTGTTGCTGCAGCAACAAAGCAGGGTTTCCACAGTTTCGACTGTTCCTCGTTCTCAATATGGAATGTTCAAGCTTCTCCGCTGACAGGTTTGGAACTTAATATATATATATATATATATATATATTTCTAGTTTCGTTTTCTTTTTTCACTAAAACGTGTGATAAAGTAACTGATCAATTTGATTTCACTTGCTAGGCGTGGTTGCATATTGTGGTGAGGCAGGAACAACCCTTTGCTTCCAGGTGAGCATTTTAAAACGAGATTTTTGTTGCCCTTCTAAATGCGAAAGGGACACGTTGAATGACATCTTATATAGTTATATTTGTATATTGATCGAGAACCTTCCTTCAATAGTTTCACCTGCTAACTTTAGGCGCTTGTCGTTTTTACTTTTGAGCAGCCAACAGCCAGATCGGTGAAGGACCCTTCGCGAAACCGTAGAACCCACTTGCTCTGTGGATCACTGTTGGAGGAGGAAGATGCCCTTATTGTAGCAACTCCATCGACTAGTACTTCTCACTCTAGAAGATACCCGGGCATGAAACGGTCTGGCGGAGCAAAAGACCTAGAGAAAAAATTCAAGGAACAGATAAATAACGAGCAGCCGCTTGGTAATTTTCGTGACCCACATATTTGATTTATGCAAATTTCATTCTCTCTTAAAAACATGTTCGAGTTTTTCTTTTCTTTTTTTTTTAATGGCAGCTATATGTTGGCGAGGCGATCTTGAAGAAACAAAGAAACAGGAACCTAAATCGAAAGAAACAAACAAGGATCAGTTGAAAAATGACAACAAAAGAGAAGTTTTTCCCGGGAAAAACGTGGCCATTCATAGAGTGAGATGGAATGCGAATAAAGGCAGTGAGAATTGGCTGTGCTACGGAGGAGCTGCTGGTTTGCTACGCTGTCAACAGATCGATTCGTCTCTTCTCCAATAGTCGTAGGGTTAGTTATGCTTCTGTTGTACTATAGTGTTGTACCAGTATGAATATTTATTTGTGTTAGGCTTTTTAGATAATTTTAGAAAATACAGTCAATTTTATTCAAGTAAGTTAATATACTAATATAGTATCTATATTTACGAATACTGTATATTAAGAGTAGAGGTGGCATTAAAATGTTCATCAAGTTGGAATCAAGTAATTAATTTTACTAGCAATATATTTTCTAACATGAAGTTTTTAAGTGAATATGAAGGTGATTATAGAAAACTAATATTTAATGACAATGTTTATTGTATATTACTTATATGCTTCACTAAAGATTTTTTATGAAGGTAATTTATTGTAAAATAATTTTATTTCATTAAACATTTCTTTTGACATTGTTTTTGTAATGGGTTACTTATTTCGTATGACAATTTTCCAAAATATGCGGGTCACTCGCAATGTATTGGATTCGGTATATGTTGTTAAGTCCGTTCTTATCAAACACAATTTTAATAATTAATTTGCTATAAATGAAGAATTTGAATTAATTATGCATTTTGGTTGTACGCACTGGGACCAAGGATGTACTCGCCTTTTGTATACAAAATCTCATTCATTAATATTTTGACTTAATTAATTACTTACACCAAACAAAATAATTTTTGGTATATTTTTCTACTAGTTTGTATAGTATGTCAACTTTTGGTCTCACGATTTCAAGGACATTTTTTTCTAAAAATCCCAATCAAGTATTTGTTGGAAATGCTTACACTTATTTTTGCATTTGATGTGATTGAAATGTCTTAGATTAGTTAGATATTGAGTTATTCTATCAACTTTTTATCTATTTCAAGATTAAAAAAAATAAAAAATAAAAAATAAAAACAATTCCAGCAATCTTTGCATTTTTTTAATAATCTACATTGTCTATCTCTAACTTCAAAGAGTTTCGGCAAGTTGAAATATATAATAGTTTATTTTATTATATTTAAACAAATGTTACATATATTCACTTGTTCAATAATATTTCTATGATCATTTTAAAAAAAAAAATCAGGGTTTAGCCCAAAACCCCGTAAACTTTTGATTTACCTTAACGTCGTCAGTATTTTAGTCATATTCTAAACTACTAATACAAAAATGAAATAATGTGTACACTATATAGTACAAATAGGGGCCAATTTTTACAAATTCTTAAAACTCGTCTAGACCCCCAAATTTCTCGATAACGGTCAATGGTTGCAACTTTTCCTCTTATTCCATTGTTGAGTAGTTCTAATGTAGTATTAATTAACTTGTTTGACTGACAGTGTACTACGAGAAGTTTTGTAACCGACGATGATAACGATCGGATAAGTCGTTTGCCCGACGATGTTCTCGTCGGCATTTTGTCTTTGCTATTGCTAAAGGAAGCAGGCCGTACTAGTGTTCTTTCGTACCGTTGGATAAACTTGTGGAAACACATTCCCTCTCTCGATTTCGACCCTGGCCGACGGAGCGAGTTAATCGGTAGTGATGTGCTCACAAAGTATTTGAAATGGGTGGACTCTGTTATCTCATCGCACAAATCCCCCACCTTAAAACAATTCAGAATCAGTTTCCCTTTAAGCAAATCAAACAGTAATTCCATCACTCGGTGGCTCGAATTCGCGTTTTCGAAACACGTCCAGAGGTTGGAGTTGGACTTTTGTATTTATTTTATAAATACCAATCGTTTTCCCGAGGGGTACTTATTCGCCCCACCGACAACTACGCTCTCCGACTTTAAGTCCCTCAAAGCATTGTCTTTTAAAAGCGTTGATCTCAGCGGCGGAGCTATCGAGTTCTTTTTACGTAACTGCCCTCTGCTCGAACAATTGATTGTCCATTCCGCACGGAAATTATCAAAGCTCGAAGTTTGTGGCTCCTCCCTCGTGTTAAAACACTTGGAGATAGTCCGTTGCCCGTTTTTGAAATCGCTTAAAGTAGCCGCCCCGAGCCTTACTTCGCTTACAATTATGGATTTTGAGGGAGTTTCGCTCGAGAATATTCCAACGCTAGTTGATGTATCCATCACTTGTAAAGATAACAATGTCTCTCTGAAAAGTTTGCTCTCCGTATTTTCTTGCTGCATTTCGCGATTGGAGACTCTTCACATAATGCTGGTGAGCTGTCATGATATACGAAAAAAAACGGACGAGCTCTGCAAATTCGCCGAGATGACTGGATTGAAGAAATTGGTAGTTGAACATTATTCATTTGATGATGAAAGTTTAAGTAGACTCGCTTTTTTGATAAGGATATCTCCTAATTTGGAGGAATTTGTTTTAAAGGTTAGTCAATTTTCTCTTTTGCACGTTTCTTTCGTTTTCGGTTTTGATTATATCAACTTATGTGTAAACAGCAAACATAAAATAAAATACGGTACTTGTATGATTTAGTCACGTGCGCAGAGTAGAGGGTTCGATGGTTTTGCAGTAAGAATGCCTAGACGAGTCTATGATGATGATGACAATGATGATGATATATGGTGTCGGCACGAGCATCTTAAAGTGTTTGAGTTTTGTGGCTATAACGGTCGCACATGTGACGATGCATTAGTCGAATGCATATTGAAGAATTGCATTGTGCTTGAGAAAATAATAATTGATCCGTGCATCGAATATTCCTACAACAGATTCAGTCGCTCGTACATGGAAAAATGTGCGAGAACCAAGGCAAAGAAACATCATGTTGAATTTGTTATTCGTTAACTTTGCGATTATTTCTATTTTTTTATTTTTTGCAATAAATAGTTAGTTATGTGTTTTGGTGCAGACTTAAGAGAATGTTAATTATAGTTCTCTTGATTTGATGCTGTTATCTTGAAATAGTAATTTTTTTCTTTAGAAGAGAAAATTCGGCAAGTAATTTTTTCCAATTTGAATTAATTTTTCACTTTTGAAAAAATTGATTATTTTTTTCTTTTCCAAAAGTGTTAAGTATGATGTAATCTGTTCCATTTTTTACCCCGATGAGTATTTGATGTAGAACCAACTAAAATTTAGTTCAATATATAGAGTTCAAATAACTTATTAAATAATTTAAATGAAAACATTAAATTCACGTCTACAATTTTCTGACCAATTTTTCTAAGTCAGATCAAATAAAATATCACGTGTTTGAATCTTAGCATACCCATTCAAAATATTCTCTACGTACAAAACTTCAAAATACAAAATGCATACATACATGTGAGGGTCTCGATTTTATCGGTGTCGATATGCAATATTAACAACCGCAAGAATAAAATTTGAAGCACAAATCTCGTTCGAAAACCATTCTTACATTCTCTAATAAAAAACATAACACGAGAAAACAAGCGGGAAAACGAGGAACTCGTGCAAAAAAAAAATAAAAAAAAATAAAGCTGATCGAAAATGTATACAAACTATCACTACCAACTAATACTCTTCAACTTTTCGTTCCTACCACAACTCATGCCCTGAGTGAACTAACACTATATATATATCAACATTACATCTAGACATATTCCAAATTTTATTACTCCTATCTCGATTTTATCTTCCTCGATTACTTCAAAACTGTCGTCATCCTAATTTCGTGTTATGCGAATACTACAAAAAAATTCTTCAAACCATAAGGGGGGCTTTAGTTACCGTGTATGTTGTTTTTGATAGCAATGTTTATTTTTCATCTTCATCAATTCCTTCCTCCTCCTCCGGGCAATAGTCGCAGCAAGAGCATCGTCCGAGTCTTCACGAGGGCTAACAACCGGCTCTCGATTCTCCTCCGCCGAACCGACATGCGTCGCACTCTCGGGGGCAGGAACGTCATTTGCGTTTGAAGTATCGTCTACCTGGCTATTGTTATTGTTATTGCTATTGTTTTCTTCATTGGGACGAGCCACCGAACAAGAACAAATATTGCTTTGATTTTCGGTGTTTTTTCCTTCGTTGGGAGTTTGGAAGGGTAGCAAAAAGGGTACTGGGAATAGCAATACAGGAGCCCCCATTGGGTTTTCTTGTCCTTGCGACGAACTTGTACCGTAGGAAAGATGGGGCCCGCATTGGGATTGTAAAATATCGGAAGATGGGAAAAGGGAGGGCCAAAAGCAAGAAACTAATGAAGGGCGATTATGTAAATAGATGGAATTTGCGGAAGAAGTTTCATCGGGCCTGGACGATGATGATGTGTTCGGATCTTCTTCCGGGCCCCACAGTTGTTCAGCCTTCTTTAGTTTAGCCAGCTGCAAATGCAAAACGAATGAATATATTTCAGTAGAAAAGAAAAAAAAAACGGATTATTTTGCCGAGGTGATGAATATTACCTCTGCTTTAAGAACTTCGTTTCGGTCTTTTAAAGAATCGTACTGTTTTACCGCCACCTCTTTTTCCTATTTTTCACAATTTGTTGAACAGAGAGCGAGTTTAGTAATTTTATTTTATATATTTAAATGATAAACGAGTACTAAATCAAGAAATGGAATATACCTTCTTCAAGCTCTCGTTCTCTTCAAACAAGTAGGCTGCTTTACCGGACAACTCGAAATACAAAGCCTGGTATAAAAGTAACCACAATATCCTGATAGTTGGAAGTGGCAATAAAAACGAACACCGAATATAATAAATTAAACAAGTGTTACTACTCGCTAGTAACCGCATTTTCATATTTTAAAAATGCGGATAAATCAAAATTGTGATAAACGCTCGCAATCGCGGCGGCGTGTTAATTGAATTGGATTGAATATTAAGCATGAAGTCACACTATTAACTAATTGAGTAACAATTTAATGTATACCTGCCGGCGACGAATTGTCTGCCTGGCGGACTCTCTGTTTGCCAATACACGATGAAGCTTCCGAGCTTGCTTCTCAGCCTGCAACAGAGACACTATAATTAAGTTTCCGAAATGAAATTGAAAGCATAAGTTCGATAGATAAATCGGAAAATTAAAGTTTGTACCTCGGTTAGTTTCGGCCGTAACTTGGTCGATTGACAGCTTGTGCTGCACAACTGGCTGGCCGTATTTTCGACTATTTTCCGATCAGTCCTTTCAGAAACTGTAATTGCACTTGTAGAAGATACATAACTATCACCAATGTTTTGAGTAGCTACTGACTCATCCTGATACATACACAATTAATTTAATTAATTAATTAATTACTACTGGATAATTGCAATTATGCATCATAATCAACTCCATTTTCATAATCTTTATTAAGACAACATTTTTTATTGGAGAAAGTGCCGCCTTATCTACTTCATAAAGGGCAACTATATTCAACTACTTGAAAGAAAGAAAAAAAAAAAAAAAAAAAAACTTAGGGTTGTGTGGGTGGAAGCTAGTGCCCACCGTTGCAGGCGGAAATTGACTCTCCATCTCGCCGGAACTGACAGCGCCGCCGGGCAACGCGGAACTCCTATGCCTAGCCAACCCCGCCAGAGCTGCCGCCGCCTCAAGCTCGCAAGCCACCATCTCGCCGCCGCCGACTTCCTCACACGTCTCCATGAGGTCATCCTCCCGCTCTTCCTCCGCCTCCGCCGCCGCCGCCGCCGCCTTCCCGCGTTCCATTATTTCCGCCGTGATACAAAACAAAAAAGGATGGGAGACTCGCTCGGACTCTGGAATTTAGAGGCATGAAAATAATTAAGAATCGGGACAATAAAGGAGACACCTCTCAGAAAGTGCGAGTCCAGCTGTGCGGAGTTGCCACGTGTCGCTTCGGCACGTGCGGGCCGAGAGCGCACGTGACGTGAGTAATTTGGTTGGCTACGAGTTTGAGGCCGATTTTGGAGGTGTCGAGTTATTGGGTGACTATTTTGGGATACATCATAAATTTTGTTTTTGTAGGGCTAAAATTTAAAATTAATTATAAAAAAAAAAAAAAGGTTTTGCATGAATACCAATTATAAAATAGAAGCCACTGCAACAATTTGATGAAGGATGTAAACTAAAACATTTTTTCTTTTTTTTTTTTTTTAATTAAAAGAAAAAACAATTTTTAGACGATATTTTTCATTTTTTCTATTTTTTTTAAATGAAATTTGAATCCGCATGGAATTCTAATTTTCGATATGATTTTAATTTCAAAAATATTACATATTTCTCCAGAAGTAACGTTACGATATTAATGTTATTATCCATTTTACACTATACTTGAACAAAAATGAAATTTCTGATGATCGAAAAAAAAAAATCGGTTTAGAGTAATTTTTTTTTTTCATTGCAATTTCTAAAATTCCGATTTCCTTGGGAAATATTATGAGATAGAATTGAAGTTAAGGCAATGTTTGGAAGCGTTTTGGATCTTATTTTGATTTCATTTTGATGAAATATGTTTTGGGGGAATAATTTGAGAATGAAAGTAATGTTTGTTTGTATTTTGGAAGGAGACAAAATACACTGTAGAAGTCAAATCATGTTTAAATGTGTTAGAAAAAGATATTTTTGAAGAAAAAAATTGAAAGATGAAGTGATGTTTATTTGTTTTTTAGTGAAGACATTTTTTACTGTAGCAGTCACATTATTTTACTGTAGCAGTCACATCATGTCTGAAGGAGAGAGAAACTTTTGAAATTGTTTTGAGAAAATGATTTGAAAAGTGTAATAAATTTCATTTTGTTTTGGGGAAACAATGAAAACAAAATGGAAATGGTTCCAAACATTGCCTAAGTAATCTGTTCAGATTCAGATTTTTTTTGGGGGTAATTTTAGTAATTATCTTTTTTAACTGGTATATATATATTAAAAAAGAAAAAAAAAATCACCATCGATGACATAAAGTAATTGGAAATTGACCACATCGACTATACGTAGTGACGAGTTGGAGAAAAGTGGGCCACAAACGTAAAAAAAAAAAAAAAAAGAATATTTATTACTATATATCGTAAAATACGATAATGTAAAGCTAGTGATAATTGGCTACGTCGTAGTCTCGTAGACAAGGCTTTTTAAAGTTGAGTGAGTGGGTCCCACTTGATAAGCAATTGGAAATGCAATGGATATGGTCAAGTTTGGTCGTCCGGACCCCACTGTCTATTGTCACGTGGGCATGTCTTTTTTCTTATTCTTTATTTTTACAACTACTGTTCTATTCTGCCACGTCACTATCATGCCGTAACTTGCCTGACCACATATATATATGATTTAAATTCGATTTTTTTAAGGGGGAATATGCCAAACACCCTCCATTGGGTTTTTTATTCTTGATAAATCCATAATTAATTAATGGTATTTGAGATAAATCCATTGGACTTGAAAACCCATATATACCCCCACTTATTAGTATAATTATTAAACTAAATATTATGGTAAATTAATACCAAATCCCTCCCAAAAATAAATCAATACCCAAATCAATCCCAAGATCAGATTGCAGAAAACCACCCGCCCCTCTTCAATGCCCCACAGCACGGTTGAAGACGTTCTTATTTTTTTTTTATTTTTTTTTTTGGTTTTTTGTTTTAAATTGTTTTTTTTTTCTTATTTATATTTTTTCATGTTTTTTATTTTAAATTAAAAAAATAGTTTTATTTTTATTTTTGTTTTTTCATGGTTTTTATTTTTTCTTATTTTTTTTTTAAATGGTTTTTTTTTTCCTTTCCAATTTTTTTAAATAAAAACCACTCTATATAAACATGAAAACCACTCTGTATAAACAGCTATATAAACATGAAAATCGCTACGTATAACAGTTATTTAACATGAAAACCACTCTGTATAACAACTATGTAAACTTGAAAACCACTCTGTATAACAACTATGTAAACTTGAAAACCACTCTGTATAACAACTATGTCAACATAAAAACCACTCTGTATATACAATTATATAAATATATGTACAAAAGTTATTAAAAACCACTATAAAATTGTTGAAAATCACTATAAATTTATCAAAGACAAAGTCTGGCATTATGAAAACCACTTCGTATAAACAACTATATAACAAACAAAAATAAATGTAAATTCACTCTTCGTAAATCCACTATTCGTAAATCCACTCTTCGAAAATCCACTGTTTGAAACATAAACCACTACTACGTCCATGAAAAAGTGCAAGTCAATACACCACCACCAACAAGGCCGACAAGGGTGGCTATATCAATCTGAATAAGAAAAAAAAAATTAGCAAATGAAAACCAATTTTCAAAACCAAACCTTGTTGTCACACCATCGTGTCTTCTTTTTAATCATAATTGTTGTTTCCTCATTAATTTTCTGTTTCAAGAGATTTATGCAAATATAGCACCAATATGACTAATTTATGAAGCTTGTCATGGATAGTCCCAATGCCAAAATTTTATACAAGAAAAATTATCCAAGGTGCAATATTAAAAATAACAATATATATAATCATATTGTACAAAACAATATTTTTATATGAAAAAAAAAAGGAAAAAGGAAAAAGAAAACTACAAAAAACTGTGTTATTGAAGAATGACGTGGTGTGGCCACTGAAGCAATTGAATTGGCTGCAAAGAAAGCACTGAGCCATTCTTAAAAACGAGCCTGGTCCAAGCATCAGGTGTATCATAAATTTTTTTCATAAAATAAGAAAGAAAAAGGGTGAGACTCTTGCTGGATTTTTTTGCAGGTAAGTAAATACTCAAACAAAATTAAGAAAATTGAAATTGCTCAAATCAAAGAAATATTGAGAAAGAAAATTGGGGGCGTATCAGAAACGCTGCGGACGGCTTCGGCGACGCAATACAACACGGAGGATCGAGCGCCCAAAACCAAACTCACGCTACCTGGAACAAAGAAAAAAGAAGAGAGGGAAGGAGATCTTACGGGACAGTGGAGAGAAGAGAGAGGGGAGACAACGGAAGTAGAGAAAGAAAAGAGGAGGAGCGGCGGCGGCGGCGGACGCACGGTGAGCGGTGGAGAGAGAGGAAAGGGCGCTGGCTGCAATGGAGAATGAAGAGAAGGGGCAGTGGCGATAGATAGAGAAGATGGCTGGGAGAAATAGAAATTAAAACGAGAACTTAGGGTTTGATAGTGTGGATGGAAATTATAAATTAATATTAAATAAAAGATTATGTAGAAAAAAAGGGTATAATTGTGAAACTATATTAATTTTCATTAATTAAAAATATTTTGGATTTATCATAAAAATAAGTTTTTTTTTTGGACTCCTTGTAATTGGAGAAGGCTAGTGAGGGGTGTTTGTGAAATAATCCCTTTTTTTAATTGGATTAATCTATTATTCAGTAAATAAATATTTAGTCAGATAAAATGTTGCGTTCCTTTGTATTGATTCCACCATTAAAAAATTAAAATTGTTGATTTTTTTTTTTGGTATTATGTCGTCCTGATTTGTAGTTATATATGTAGATAAAATCATCTTTTTTTTTTTCTTAGGACAAGTACTATTTTATTGGTTAGTAGTATTCAATTGTATTGGCTCCTACAATCCTACTATTTTATTTAACAAAATGCAAATGAGTTAGAGCTGGCTCGACAAAACTTCGAACTTCGAGCTCAAGTTCATGAGCTTGAGTATTATTATGAGCTCATCTTTTACTGTTCGATAGTTCCTGAGCTTGCTTCATATTGAAAAGTAAGTTTTATATAGATAATACTCTCTTTGTTCCGCAATATTCAGTTACTTCGAGCCGGCTCGCGAGCTCACGAACAACTAAAAATGAGTTCGGCTCGACTCATCATTAAACTCGACCTCGAAAAATTCGAGTTCGAGTTCGAACTTTTGTCAAGCTGGCTCACCGAGCTCACGAGCCGGCTCGCGAGCTTACGAACAACTAAAAATGAGCTCGGGCTCGACTCATCAGAAAGCTCGAGCTCGAAAAATTCGAGTTCGAGTTCGAGTTCGAACTTTTGTCGAGCCGGCTCGGTTCATTTACACCCCTATGCTCAACTCTTGACCTCATAAAATAAAGCTCTAGCTCGTCAAATTCGATTTGAGCTCCAACTCCAAAAAATCTATGAAGCTCGGCTCGAGCTTTTGACTAGTTCACACTAGGGGTGGTAAACGAGCCGAGCCGGCTCGCGAACTCGACGAGCCGGCTCGACAAAGGCTCTAACTCGAGCTTCAGACGAGCTCGAGCTCGAGCCCAAATTTAGTTGTTCGACAGCTCGCGAGTTGTCTTCTTTTTTTTTTCTTTTTCTTTTTTTAATTTTATTATTATTATTATTATTATTATTATTATTATTATTATTATTATTATTATTATTATTATTATTATTATTAACTAAATAGTAAATAGTCTATAATAATAAATATTTCTAGTATTTAAATAGAAACAAATCTATATTACTTAAATAATTCATAATAATATAAAATATAATAATAATAATAAAAAAATTAAAAAAATATATAACTAGAGTTCATTATTTATTTTATATATATTTTTTTCCTATAAATAATTTTTAATAAAAAATTAAATGATTTCAATAAATAAATAAATAAAAAATTAAATGTGCTCGAGCTCGAGCTGGCCAAAAGAGCCAAGCTCAGCTCGAGCCGTTCTCACCCCTAATTCACACCCCTAAACCCCTACTTACACCATCTCCAATGGAGATGGGTATGGGCTGGGGTGGGGTGGTAAAACCACCTCCAATGGAGGTGGGTCAAGGGGGTGTGGGTCTAGGGTGGGTAGGTGTGGGGAGCGGGAGAGGGAAGAATCCCTTGAGCTGCCCCCTTCAAGCTCACTGGAAGAGAGCGTGTGATACACGCTCTTTTTTTTTTCTTTTTCTTTTCTCTTTTTTACTTGTTAATTTTATATTTTTTTAATTTTCCTTTTCATTTGTATTTATTTTTTATATTATATCATTATTTTATTTTATTTCAATTATTTAGTTACATAATTTGATATCACATAATTTCAATAAAATCAAAAACTTAATTTGTAAATAAAGACTTTTAATATTTTTGCTTTTATTTCTTTTTCTTTTATTTTATTATTTTCGTTTGAATTATATCTTTTGTATTACTAATTCTATATTTTTTAATTAGTAATAATTATTATTAATTATTAGTTTTTAATAATAATAATAATAATAATAATAATAATAATAATAATAATAATAATAATAATAATTATTATTATTATTATTATTATTATTATTATTATTATTATTATTATTATTATTATTATTATTATTATTATTATTATTATTATTATTATTATTATTATTATTATTATTATTAATTAATATTACAACCATCACCATCAGCTTCATCTTAATCATAACAAGATCATAATCTTCTTCTCCTTTAACAATACGTCTGCTCATGATTTATATTTATGACAAGGACAACCCCTCCTCCTCTTACTTGCACCAGCTCCAACCTCAACCTAAACTAACTTCAACTTCACCTCGACCTCCAATAATACAAATTATTTGATCTTGAACCACAACTTTTTTTAATCACAAATTTTTTCAAAAACAAAAATTTTCCTTCGCCGGCGGACGCCGACGTTTATTTTTTTTTTTTT